TTTATTTTTAAAAATTAAAACAAATATTTAGAAAAAATTTTAATTAGATAATTGTTTAAAAACGCTGGCAACCTTATTCAATTTTCGTTGACATTTTTTATTATTTTCGAGAATATTCGACGCACATAGTATGTATGTACATGCATATTTAATTATGTTTTAAGAACATTTTTAATTACAATTTAAATTTAAATTTTTAATTTTATTTAAGCAAAATTTTTTTTTGTTTTTTGAAAAAAAAAATATTTTCGGCATTTTTAAATAGTTCACAAACTAAATTTTTTTTATAAAAATTTTTTTCATTAATTCAGTTTTAAAAATTAAGAAAAATATTTTTAAACCTTTTCGTTAGTTCAGTGTTTAATTGACTTAATTATTTACCTTTTTGAATTTTGTAATTAAATTTTATTTTTAGAAAATATTAGATTTCTATAATCACACTTTGCTACATTTTATTAATATTTTTATACATTTCCAAACTATTATTAGTTCTTTGTATGGTGGCAACTCTCGGTAAATAATTTTTTGTTATAAACTGTGATGCTAAATATATGTAAATGTCTGAAAAGTAAATAATGAAGTTGAGAACCTAAAAATAATAAAACTAATTTATCTGTCGGAAAGATCACAGCAGAATTTTTGAGAAGCAATTAAAAAAATCAAATTGATGTTAACTTCTGTAACACCAAAGCAATATTACCCTTCACAAATTCAAACGGTTCCTTCCAAGAAGTTTGTTCCGATCGTTCAGGTTGTATTTCAAAATAATCCGATCTGAACAATTCCTTCAGAGATTTTGTCGATAAATAAATAGCTGCTTGAGAAGAAAAATTCCTTTGCAAAGTTTCAGATCGATATCTCAAAAACTGATGCATTAGTTGGTATATTTATATTCTGACAGACAGACAATCATGGTTAAATTGATTAAGCTTGTCATGCCGATCATTTATACATACATATATATATATATATTTATTAAAATGTCTCTGATTGTTATAAATATCATTTCATTCATTTTCTAAAAGAATCCACGGTGCATAATATGTTTATTACTTCCTCAAATTTTCCGAGGCATTTCAATAAACCTCAACTCGGCCTTACCCACGTAAGCTAGAAGCCTTTAATGTTAACGCATTCCTATTGAGTCTAAGTACTCCTCGAACACCCCTCGTAATAGTATAAATCATACTATCTCTTGATGACAATTCTTCTTAATTAATTAACCATTATTTGTAAAATAAAATACACGTCATCGTAGTTTTATAACCGTTACTCAGAGGCCTTTCAAAATAAAAACAGCTTTGAGTCACTCACTTATTCACCGCTCATACTACTCAGCATCTAGTTTTTAACTACGACTTAGCAGCATCGTAAATTCACGCCCCTCGGCGAACTTTTCAAATGCTGCAGCTGTGACACACTTGTGCATTTCTCGACGTCGGCTTCAATTTAATTAAAATGCCGCTGGCAGAATACGTACGCCTTTGTACTATTTGTCGGGGTAACATCATAACTAATTCAAATCGGCGACACTGCGAAAAAGTCAATTCCAGTCAAGTTCCCTTACATGAAGATGAACTTGACTTTACGCAAATTGGCGCTCGCCGAGCAACGAGTGCAACGCTAATTGTTTTTGTGCTCAGCGGATAACAGTTGAACTAAAAGGCGAACTTGTATACAGACATACATATGTTTTTACATTCAATGCAAATGTCGGAGCATTTCTAGCAACTTGGAATGTTTCTGTTTACTTCAATTTGTTAACTTTTTGATTTAGTTGTGATGATATTGCTTTTGTTTTTTTTTTTTGCTCGCTTTTGAGTCAGAGTTGGATTGAAAGTGAATTGTCATGTTTCTAAGTGCAAAAAGTAATTAAATCTTCTTCTGCGCTAGTCAAAGTGTTGGCTCTATTTAGAGATCGTTTAGAGTTATTAGTTCGTCAGTTCGTCAGGTTTGCAATAGCCTCCGATTCTGCGGTGGCCTGTCATTTAATCTAGACTTTTTGCCATTGATAGCGACTACTTTTGCACGCTCGGTTAGCGAGCTCAAGCTTAGTATCGCCGCCTTCGTATCAAAGTTTACATTCGCTCCTCTGAAGGAGCTTTGACACTTTTTCTGTATAACGCTACCATATTGGCAGCAACCTCAACTTTAAAAAAACCGCAGTCAGGAAGTCCAAAACTTAAGTTGATATCAACCGCCCCAAGCTTTGATCCATCTGTACCTTTCCTGCAGATGCTTTTATCACCGACAACTCCCTCGCATGTACACATATTTGGGCATAAAAAATATCGCTGGAGTTTGGTTTCCGACTCCACGATCTAATATGAAGTCAAAGCGTACTAGGATCACTTGGAAATCCTCCAATCTTATGTGCGTTTAGAAACTCAGATTCTCTAAGTTTGATAGCAACACTCACAGTCATAAGATCAGACAAAGCATCAAGCTTTATTATTTTTTTTATTATTTTTGTAACTATATGTGAATTTGTTTTTTTACATACAATACAAAAACAAAAATATATCTATGTACATACACCTAAGCTAATTAGCTTCATTCAAACCAAAACAATTTGAATGCAAGAAGAAAAAGTATCAAATTTTTCAGCTTTTGTATACTCGAATATTTGACTGCATACATACCACTATATCCGCTTGAAATGATCTACAGATTATTTCCGGCTAGAGCCGCTAATTAAATAGAGAAACGATAATTAAAATTGTGCTTCGCAAACGTGTCAATGGCCATATTCACACATTTCAATACAAATTTGCAAAGTTTTTGCGAGAGCTAAGCAAAGCGTGGCCAAAACTGTGTGTGGATATAAAAACAAAGAAAATTTTTGGTGATATCAATTCAAGTTCAGAAATAAAACTAGTTTTTTATAAAAAATTCTACAAATACTTTTAAGCTCTAATAGAACAACGAGGCTTTTAAACCCTCCCAAAACCTAAATATAACAATTGTAATAAAATTTACTGCCTAAAACTGTAAAAAAAAATTTACAAATAATTTTCACTCCAATTTGTCGTTTCTCCATACAAATTTACTGAATGAAACTGCTATTGTCGTGTATGCAAAATTATTCGTATATAATATGTCTATATATAATTGTATATTCGTGCGCCTACGTGCCACAACTTATAAATTGTAATGCACCAATTCCATTTGCAACAGCGCAGCAAACCGCAAAGTGCTCCGAAATATAAAAATACATAAATAACGGCATAAAATAAGCAGACAAAACTTGAGCGAACTTGCCACACGATACGCACTCACTCGCAAGTCGAGACAGGCAATCGCTCATTTTAGACACGTTTAAGTGCAACAAATAAGAGAAGCTCACGCAAAGCCCGCAAAGCCATTAACGAAATACGAGCGCAGTTATGGCGTGTGTGCAAAGAAAATTTCTGGTGCGTAGAATTTTGAGAAAATGCAAACAAAAACAAACCACTTGAATGTGCCAAATATTGTAAATACCCGCTTTTGAAGACCAAAATGCCGAAATATGAAACTACAAAGTTATTTGGGTAACTGGTACTGCCTGCCGGTTTTGAAAGCTGAATTATGAATTCATATGAAAATAAATGTAGTCTACAATTAGGCGCCTTTATAGCTACTAAGGTTTAAAAATAGGACGCTTTGGTTAGTAAATTTATTTTAGCGGATTTAAACAAATATAATTATGAATTTTTTCTGTTTTGAATAATGGCAATATTGTTTTGACATTTTTCTAAAGAAATTTTGAACTTTCGAAAACGAAATCGAAAAAAATATTGAAATCAGGGCCATAAAAATTGACTGTTTTTACT